TGATCTCTAAGGTCCATAACAACACATTAACATACTATGAAACTATGAAACATCTGGGATGCAGAGGTCGTGCTTTGGACTCCAATATGATATAGATGAAATCTGGTTTAGTCTATTTACAAGAACTTATTTCACTTAGATACTGTCCAGCTCTCCTGGAGGAGTGGGTGAGAGTTCCCAGACATCCATCACCTACAATTAAGCAAAACTTTTTTGACTGCAAGAACCTTTTAAGAAAACGGTCGGCACATCCCCAGGTCCCCAATTCCAACCTGCTTTAGCTCAGAGCAAGCTGTCAGCACAGGTTCAACAAGCTTCATCTGGCAATTGTTCGTGCTGCTCTCCCCCCTTCACTGGAACCCAACACATTTTCTGGCTCTCACAACTTCCAGCAGACACAAACACTGACTGCTCAGCTGCCTTCCCTCATCTGCTTCTCCCAGAGTCCCAGGAAGGAGACCCAGAGGTCTCTCTGTGCCTGGCCCGAGCACAGCAAAGCTCTGCACAGTGTCTCACCTCCTGCACGTTGCAGCCAGCTGCTTTCAGCTGCTAAACTGAGCCTACACCCTTGTTTTGTCAAACCCCCTCCTACAGAGAAGCATCCAGGCTGCAGTTTCTGCACTAAAAATTGAAGAATTCCTCATCTCCATTAGTTTTTTCCAGTAGTGGATGTCCTTGATGTTAAAGGGAGGTTTTTGGAAGTTATTTTTCAAATTAGTTGAACTTTGGCCAGGTTGGATGGAGTTTGGAGCAACCTGGGCTTGTGGATGGTGTCCCTGCCCATCGCAGACGGGTGGAATGATCTTTTAGGGCTTTAAGGTCCTTTCCAACTCAAACCATTCCATGATTATATGACAGTAGAAGAGGTTGGTTGGTTCCTCTGGTTGGTTCCAGCTTCCACCTACTGCTGCTTCTACCCTTTCTGTGCTTCTTGATCACTGAGTCCTTCACTATCTATCTCAAAATTGCATCAAGTCACTTGGATCTTTGTGGTGTGCTGACCTGGTGTCCCTCAGCAGGATGGAATTGCTGGGTTGGTGCTGGGGGTTTTGTGTCTCTCCTCCAGCCTGTCTAATCTCATAGACTCCACAGGACTGCTTGTCCTTTTCCCACTCCCGCAGGATTTAATCTGCTCCATCTTTATTGCTGCAGGCATGATGGGGAGACCTCAGCTTCTGGGCAAAGCAGGGCTCTTGTGTCACCAACAAGGTCCCCTTAGAGAGGGGCTGAAGACTGACTGAGGAGATAAAATGCTTTCAGATGTTCTCTTGGGATGGTAGAGGTGTCTAATGGAGACAGATGGGATTTGGATTTTTCTTAATCTCAGTTCCTGCAGTTTTTGTGCAGAACAAGTGAGCAACCAGCAATTTGTGGGCAGGTGCTCTCCTGGGAACACAGCCCCAGACTGAGCTCATGTTCTGCCTCATTTCCACCAGGGATTTTATTTTGGAATGGATGATTTTCTGGGGATTTCAAAATGAAAGGGTGGGTTATATTACCCCTCAGAGGGAAAACACATTTGGAAAGCTGAAAGCTCTTTATGAAAACATCCCTTGGTGTCTGTGGTAAGACCTTCCCAAAGGACTCTCTCTCCCACCATGGTCCATGCTCTTCCATAAGGATCTGCTGCCAGGAGACTCCCCTGGGAGGCTATCTTGAAAACCATCCTAAAGCCCTTCCTCAGGCCAGAGTGGTGGGTGTTCTGCCAGGTGGAAATGGACCAGCACTAGGGTAGCCACAGTCCTCAGCTCTTATTCACTGCAGATGAAAAAATCTGATGACTGCACAGTGCAGGTCAGATTAAAATAATCCCAGGAATCCCTCCCGGCCCTGGGCTTCTGCAGCCAATGTAGCTAATCCCGCACTGCACGTGCAAGCCAACTGTACTCCAGGTGTGTACTGCACCTGCCTGCCCAAGCACAGCCCATGTGCATGTCCTTGGAGGTGGCAGCACTCCCACGCTGGAGCAAAGTCTCCCAGGGCTGAGCTGGGGGCAGCTGGATCCTCTCCTAAGACCTGGAGCTGCTGTGTGTGTGCAGTATCTTTGGATCTAGCTCCTAGAGAGGAGCAGGCTGCTGCCACCAGTGCCTCCAACAGCATCTGGTGCTCTGCTAGGGCCATGGGCTTAACCCAGTTGTGCACTGGCAGAAAGCAGTGCCTGAAGAACAGCATCATGTCCTCCTCCTGGGGAGAAAAATATCATCTCCAAGTTCAACATCCACAAGGGAAGGAAACTGAACAAGGCTTGGTTTTACCCTTAAGTCCCTCTGGACATCCTGGATGGTGAGAAATGCTGAGGGGAGAGCACAAGCTGGAGGACAGAATAAGCTAAGCAGGTCTAGGTGCTTTAAACAAGACCAATCCAGAGACAGCCCAGCAGGCAGCTGGAAACATACAGAAATACAGGAACATTCCCAGAAAAAGCCAGCAAACAGGCAACATGAGGGAAATACCTGCTATAGTGTCTCCTTGAGAGCCTGGAGACTGAGCGAGCTTCCTAGCTCACTTCAGCCATGTCCTGCCTGTTTTTTCCCAGCTCAGTGACTTGCCATGATTGTTCAGAGGCTGAAGACCTCAAAGAGGTGTTTTTTCATGCCACCATTTCTCTCCAAATGGTCTTTGCTCAGGATCAAATGAACCAGGTTCTCCTCTCAGCCATGGGCAGCAGCACAAGGACACACTTCCCATTACTAGATATATGCAAAGAAAAGAACCAATCCCAAATTTGTTGCATTTTTGTTGAGAAAGATCCCAAGAAAAGTATTTTTTCATGAAGTCTCTGTTTTCAGAAGAACCATCAGACTCTAAAACGATTCAACAGTTCGTTCTGATCATGTTTCTCACAGAGTATTGGGTTTAACAGCTCAGATCACATAACCTGCCAGATCAAACTCCCTAAATGTTGACTCTGCCTTTATGGTTTCTGCCTCAGGAAAAAAATGCTTCCTCCCAGGAGATCAATTTTCCAGCCCAGTTCCAGAGGGGAAAACCATCAAACCCCCCGCATTTCTCACAAAGGAGCAATTTCTTTTTCCAATTGGTCCTAATTAACAATGGTCAGAAAAATCTTTAGTTAAAGAAAACCAGAAGCAAACATGGGCTGCAGGTCCCTTCCCCTTTCTTCAAAAGATTGAAAGTGTGCACACAGAGCTCAAGTTCCTTTTTCTCTTCTTTTTTTAAATCTGGTTGTAATTTCCTCTTCAAAATGTTGTTGCAATGAGGAACAGGACCATGTAAAAATACCATTTTTGCCTTCCCCTTCTTGAGGAGAGAGAGACAGCCTGGCTGGAAAGCTGCTGCTCACCCTGTGTGCCAAAGCCCTCCCTCCTCTTCAGAAACAGCTGCAAACCTTCCTCCCACATCAACCCCGAACAGAAATGGCCCTTTTGCTGATGTCCAGCTGGTGAGGAGACCCTTCAGCTCCCAGCACCAAGAGCTTCACAGGGCCTGCTTGAGCAGCAGCTGGAGGTGGAGGAGCAGGGATGGATGGTGGATGCCATGGATGAATGCCAGAGGACCAGGGGACAGGCACAGGCAGCAGCTGGGGAGATCATGGTCACCCGAGACTGCTCCTGCAGCTGTTGGCACCCAGACCTGCAGACTGAGCCCCTATCCCAAAGCATGCAAGGATGAACACCATCCAGGACTGGGCTGCAGACAATTGGGTGATTCTGGTCCCGACTGCCTCCATCAGCATCCCTACAGGGCTGTCCTGCAGTGCAATTCAGCCCAGCTGGGATGGGAGCTGGAAAGGAGGATGGGGGCAGAGCAGGGCATGAAGACACTGGTAAGTTTGTCTTCCTTCCTTCTACTCTTTATTTGAATGCCTACACTAAGCACATTGCTCCCTGTCCCTGTGCCAGCTCCGTTGTCCTGTTCAGGCAGCACCTCCAGGTGCACATGGCACCCAAGCAGCACCACCACCTCTGCCCCTTGACACACCAGGACAGAGACTAGTCAGTTTTGTTCCTTTATTACACATTGCCCTGGCATGGAAAAGCAGCAGCAGCCAGCCCTGGGTCCCCAAGAGGCCCTGGAGAGCTGAGATTGGAAAGGCTTTGCAAGAGATTGCCAAAATGGCAAAGATTCCCTTCAACGAGTGAAGTTGTGGCTGTGAGCCCAACTACCACTCACCAAAGCATCCCAACTTCATCCCTCTGAATCCCATGTTGCTCTTGTACTCCAAAGGAAAGCTGAAGGGACTTTTTTTCTGACAAATCTCCAACTAGTTTGAGAAATGTAGAAGCATTTTACACCCAACAGCATGTAAAGCCTTCCCCACTCCCCCCCACCTCCCTCCACATATACATGAACAGAGCATCTGCCTATCCACCCCCTCCCACTCCCCAAAACACACCCTCCCCAGGCATCCCAAAGCAGCAGTGATGCTTCAGCTCAGCACTGCAAACACAGGCTGAGTCTTTAACCTTCCCAAGCGCTGCCAGTCTAAAGGCTAAGCTGCTTACATGGGCTCATGGCAATACATCCGTGCTGCGAGGCTTCATCTTTCCAACCCCCCACCCCCCTCCCATCTCTGCTTCCCACCTTTATCCACATCCTTAACCCAATGTTTCCTCACACAACCCCCTTGGCATATCAAACAGAGTGCAGCACTGTCCCAGGGAGCTGCATGACTACAGAGAGCCAAGTTCAGTGTCCAACACAGACAAGCTCATCCAGCTGCAGGAATCCCAGCCCAGAGCTCAGCCTAGTGTATCCCTGCCTCCCACCCAGACCATGTACACAACAGTGTCCAAGTCCACACATCCAGGGAGGGTTGGGAGCTACAGGTGGCTACTGCAGAAGTCGGAGAGAGGGAAGAAGGTTGGTGGTCAGCGACTGCTACAAGGTAGAGCTGCACAGGTTCACGTGGAGGAAGGAGGAGGGAAAAAACCCAAGAACAAACTCAAAAGGAGGCAAAGGGAGAACGCTGGGATTCAGGGATGGATGTCTACCTTCTAGGCAACAGCCAGCACAGGAGAGGAAAGGGAGAGTTGGTGTTTGGTTTGTGGAGGTTTGGTTTTTGTGTCACTCACGATAGAAAACATATTCAGTGTAAGAGGTCCAGATCCTGTCGTCTGTCTGGTCATGGGCGAAGGCACAGGTGCCTGTGGAGTTGAAAGCCACCATGTGGAAGCCAGCATCGGCCAGTTTGTCAAAGGCTTGCTCCAGGAAGGTGAATTTGAGGTAGTACCTGGAGGTGTACCTCTCCGGGGGCCGGTCTGGGTCTCTGCTCTCATTCAAGGTATCCCCAAAAACCTCCTTGGCCAGCGACGTCTTGCCACAAACCATGATCCGTGCCACCCTGCGGAACTTGGCATCCGTCTGGCTGTCCCTGCCCAGGGTGTAGGAGCCCCTGTAGCCAATGGTGATGAAACCTGCCCTGCGCACGTCAGTACCAGCAGCACCAGTGGTGGTGATGGCCCCCCAGCCACAGCGCTGGGCAGTGTGGCACTGGCAGAGCTCAGGGTGCGCGTGGTGTCAGCGTTGGGGGAGAGCTCCTCCGGGTCACTTTGGCATGGGTCATCTCCCAGGGAGTTCTGCTTGCTGAGCTTGGGCGCCAATATCTTCACCAGCTCTGGCAGCATGAAGTACTCAGCCTCTCGCTGCAGCCTGCTCCGCTCTGGGAAGTGGTCAGGCAGCACCAGCTGCTGGTCCCTCATATAATCCAAGATGTAGCGGAAGAGGAAGCCATCCCGATCCACAAAGAACCGTCCCTTGCTGTCTCGGGCCAGGGAGCGAATGTTCTTCTGGGTGAACATCTCCCAGAGCAGTGAGCCAGGCACGCTGACCAGGGTAGGGTGGCGGGTGATGTAGACTTGCCCACCCACATTGAGTTCAATGATGTCAGGGAAGGGGTTGTCCTCGTTGGGTTTGGCACAACCTGAGTTGTCTGCAAGGGCCATAGTGAGCTACCACTGCCTTCCCACCTGCAGCAGAAAGCAGCAATGTGATGTTAAGCCTGCCAGCAAACAGTCCACTGCCCCAATCCCAAGTGACTGGAGGGAATCCCAAACCAGATCACATGTAGAATCATTTGGATTGGAAAAGCTCTCCAAGATCATCGAGTCCAGCCATTAACCCAGCACTGCCAAGCCCACCACTAAATACTTGCTACGGGTCAGCAAGGAGTGGAGGGCCAGCCTCCTGTCTCTCCAGGAGTCTGGAAGTCATGTCTTTTCCTCAGTCTCTGGCTCTTGGAATAAACAGCATTATCTAATGCCACCTTCCCTTCTGTGGCACAAGGGAAGGGCATTGCTTGTGGTCTGACCAAGCTGTCTCTGCCTGCAGCCCTCCTGACAGCCACTCCCAGAGCTGAGGCTCAGCCCTTCTGCCCAGGAAGGTGCAGGGACACTGGACTGATGGTAACAACAGGAAAGGCAGAACCAGTCACACCCTGGGGCTGAGCACGAACCCACCAGTCCAACATCCTGCCAGACAGGAGAAGCCACTGAGCCTGCTAAGGGAAGACCTGCCACGGCGCAGGGTCCCCGCTGAGGGGTCCGTGGTCCCATGGCACAGTGGGCTGGAGGGGTTTGTGGTCCCATGCAAGGAGCACCCATGGGCTGCCAGAAAAGCAGCACTAGATAGCACTGTGAAAGACAGAGTGACAGTGCCTTTTGGCACTCCTGGTCCATCCTTGCTCTTGGAAAGTCCTCAATAGAGACTTGAGGCCAAGCTGAGAGATGGCAGAACCTCTCCAAGGGTCTGGGACCAAGACAAATACTAAGTTACTGCTCCAGCCTCGGGCCAGCTGCCATAGATTTATACATTTTCCAAAGCCAAGCTGATTCTTGGATATCTCTTGACACTGCAAATCAGCAGCTTACATAAACCTGGCTCAGCAGATAGACTCTGGATTGCGCCTGGCCAAGCCATACTCTGTGCAGGGATATGGGAGAGCATGGAGGAGAGAAGGGGTTCCCTGTCCTGGCAGGGCTGGTCTCCAGTTCTGCCCACTCCCTGGGGGATGTTAGTGCTGCCCCGGGGCTGTTTGGAGGTTGGGACCCCTCTGGAACTGGTCCCACATCCAAGAAACAGCACTAAGTCTCATCCTATCCTTATGTCCTGCCATAAAGCTTCACAGGAGCAGCTCAAACAGATCCTCACACAAATTTTGGAGAAACCAAAGGACAAAGATATAACTCTGTGGGCACTTTTGGGTATGGGGGAGAGCTGATCCAGCGTTTCATGGCCACATGCCTCCTCCCAGCACATAGGGATGCTCAGGGAGAATCGGCTTTGAACAAGGAGTGACTTGGGCAAAGAAGACGCTGAACGACAGGAGAGAGGAACAGCGCGGTCCCCCTGGCTCCCAGCTTCCCAA